GGAGGAGTCCGACCTGGGGCTTAGGCCGCATCAAGTTAGGTGGGCCGGCCCATGTGTTGCTGTTGTGCTCTCTCTCTCTTCTATTTTATTTCCATTTCCCATTTACAGAAATTAGAGAGAGGGTTGCCTAAAAAAATAGAAATTAGAGAGAGGGAAAAGAGAAAACAGAAATAGCTAGAGATTTTAGAAAACATTGAACCTTTCTACATGGAGTCTAGATTTATACTTAGCCCAAATAAAAAAGTTACACCCACTATGAAAGAGTTGAATTCAGACTCATTTGAATTTCCAAAAATGTTGATATTTTTGGTGGAGCTCTGATAAATGCAGAAATGATTAAGGGAAAGGTTTGGCGGTCTATATTCAAGTAGAAAAGGCGTGAGATTTTAGAAAATGTTTGAAAGGAATTTGAAAAGGCACTTAAATAAAAGCTATGTTCAAATGATTTTATGAAAATATTCATATTTAGCTACTTTAGTCCCTATTTTTTCAAATGCATTTATTCATGTGAATGCCTGGGTAGCTTGCAGATATAATTATAAAAGGAGGAAATTTCTTCACCCATTCCATCATACGTTTGCTCAGTACGGAGTAGCTTGCAGATGGAGGGACTCATGTTGAGCTAGATGAGATTAGTTGTTTAAGTTTTAAGCATTACTGGCCTGGTTCACTGACATATATGTTGTGTGATATTTGTGCTCTCTGTGGGATCGATACTTTTACTTCGAAAAGGCTAGAACTAAACCGTGTGCACTTGCAGGCCATCAATGTGCTTCCATAAGAAGCACAAATTTGCTTTCATGGAGGCACACATTTAGTTTCGAGAAGTACAATTGTGCTTTTCAAAAAGGAAAAAATATATCTGTGTTGCTTCTCGTGGAGGCACGTATTTGCTTCGGCGAGAAGCAGAGCTGTGATTCTCGAAAAAGAAAAAAAGTATTAAAAAAACCATGCTTCCGCTTCTGTTTTTTTTATTTCCCTGGTTTTTTTCATAAAAAGGTTCACCGAAACATGTTAACAAGTGATCTAGTATGGAAGATCTCGATGCGAGAAATCTAATGGTGAATACGGTCAGTATTTAACGCACGGTTCAATACATAAAACATTTTGATCAAAATGGATCTACGAAAAAAGGGAAACTCTCAAGCTGTGACAAGTGGCGCACATAGTTTTTCTCTTGTTAGTGCCTGAGAAGGTGGAAGTGGACTTATTAAGAGGTGGCGTTTAATTAGTGATTTTGGCGAAATAGGAGCACCTGCTTGGTTCCTCACAGTTTGAGACATGATCCGGTTTACATGGGTCGTTGGTTCATGGAATCCAGGCCGAATGTTGTGCTGTTTTCTCTTTTATAAATGTTTAATCCAAACAAAGTGAGGTATATGTTTGAATGTCTAGAAAGAAAAGTATCCCAAGATGGTGCTGAAAATCACTTTCAAATATATTTCAGCCGTTGATAAAGTTATTGGAGTTCACTGAATATTTGTTTAATATTTGGTCAATGGACTAAAATTTCCACTTGAATCCGGTTGCAATCCAACTAATATTTTAATTTCTTTTGAAATTCTTTGAATTTGTGTATACTAGTTTCATCATTGAAATATGACCTGAAATATTCGGGCCAAAAGGTATTTATTTCAATATCTACCTAAATGACTGAAATTTTCGTGATTTCTGATGAAATTCATTGGAATTGTAATAATATTCCCAACAAGAAGATATTTGAACATCTATAAGAATAAAGCCATCTAGTTCCCCAGACAAATATACAATTTGCCTATTTCTACTTGTTTGCATTTTTCTATGAACCATTGAACCTCCATAGTTTAAAATTTAAACTCTATGAAACAATAGAACTTAAATGAATTAAACGCCGATATTCAAATGGAGTTAGAGCAGAAGTTTTCTGAAGACCTTCGTACAACTTTTACGCTTCATCAAACGCTTTGTTGCTCGTTTTTCACATAGTTGAACGTGTGTTTGTTGCTAAAAAGGAATAAAGTCGCCTCTAGCGGACTATAAGAAGAAGAAAATCACCAGCTTTTTTAGGACAAAATGACCACAAAATGACAGCTTTACCCTGACTGAAATCAGCATGCCCAGACTGTGGTGCACCCGATTATTTTTCCAGATTTTGGTCATAAAATTAGGACCGCTGTATGCTAGCCCATCGTAGGAAACACAGAGATGATGATGCGCGGGGACGTACTAGTAGTCTAGTGCCGAACTGGAAACACATACACAAAAACAAAACTAGTACCAAACTGGATTCAGACTCGGTCTCATGTGGCGTACGTCGATAGATCGACCAGTTATATGCGATCCGATGCGACGAGGCCTGGACCTGGTGGTCGCAGATGATTTCGATGGAATCTGTAGCGGATGAGATTTTGCAGGAGATCCTGCTGAGGGATGCCCACCGACGATACTAGATGCACAACTAGGACGGGGGCTGGGGGTGGGTGGAAGAACCTTATTCAATCTTCAGAGAGCCGTCACTGTCTCGTCTTCCTTAGTAGGATATAAACCCTAACAAAACTCGAAGAAACATATAGAAACAATGCCCTCCCGCCAACAACTGTCGAGATCCACCATGTCGCCATGGCCCGAAGGCCACCGGAGATGAGGTGGACAGACGGCGGCGGCGGCGGAAGGCAGAGAAACCCTATATCTCTATGGGAGGAGGCGGTTGCGTGAAGGACGCCATCAAACATGGAGTATAGCCGTTGTGAAAGTGAAACATCCAGGCCGACCGGATCTTAGACTTCCGCTACTGTGATCTGAAATTCTCACTTTTTTAATGCTTATTTTATACTTTGTGTTCGGCTAGGCTGTGGATTTTCAGAAAGTAACTTTGGGAGATGTGCTATGGAAATGCAGTTGTAGTATGAGTGCTATGCGAAAGCTCTAGTGCCATTTGGCAAACTAGATGTATGAAATGTGAATGTGGGATAAATGTCTGAAGTACCCCAAAGAACTGAATATTGGTTGCTAGTTAATTATTCAATGGTTTTTGAGTTGATGTATATCAATGAAAAAATGAATTTTGCATATAAAATTTGGATCATGGAACATCTAATTGAGAACAATTATAAAACATAATAAACTAATTATTTGGCAGTGTCGATCAAATGGAATTTTGGCATAGTAAGTAATTAGGGGCAGGAGGTGGCACACACAACAGTCGAGGGCGACGGAGCCTTGACCCCCGATGGATGCTGAGGGACGGGAAAAGGGGCCAGAGGTATCAATGCTTTCGATGAGATCAACTTGCTGTTAATCCATCTGCCCAAGCAGTTTGCAATGAGCATCATCACCATGGGTTGCTGGCACATTTGGATGCAGAGAAACTCCAAAATTTTCAAAGCTCAAAATCCATCGGTTCAAGGATGGAGAAAGCTACTCAAAGATGACCTAAAGTTGATGATTCTGAGAACCAAAGAGAAACACAGGGAGGCTTTCAGCGGATGGATTACAGATAATCTAAATTAATTCTTCATGGACATTCCTAGAGCTGGTATTGGTTAGATGGCATCTTTTTGTTTATTCTTTGCTTGTATGTAAATAACTTCGTT